CAGGAGAAAACCTACTCATTAGTGCTGACATTTAGAAGATGGGGGTGTATTACAAAATTCAGCTGCCTTGTGGGGAGCAGTTTATGACATTTCTGCTTCCCTCTGCCCCTCACTCCCATCACCTTCCTGCTGATCCCTGATCAAAATCCATGCAGTGACTGCACATAACAAGGGACAGAGTGCTCTCAAATGAGGAGGTGATGGGTGAAATGTCCAGTTAAGCTGGCTGGACAGTCACTGCATGCTGACTGCGTGCCACCCAGTACCTAAATGCCCATGCCCATGCCACACCATGTTGATGGTGTTTTCCTAGAGGTGTAAGCATTAGTTGAAGCCAGAAAAGACATTAGTGATATCTCAAGGATTTCAAAAGGAAATGACACACGGTGAGAATGCTATCTGTCGCTCCAGGCATAGGTGTTATGTGTTATGTGGGTGTTATTCTGTATGCATGTTCTGAGGCTGAGGATGTTATTGGTAACTGTATGGCACCAGCAATGGAGATATTTATTTTTGCCTGCATCTGAGTAAGTCTTTCTGATGAAGTCCTCTGTCTGGTGACATATGGTGTCAATGTTTGGCAGATTGTAGAGCTCACCAATCTGGCTTAGGAAAACATAAAATCTGATACTGAAACAAGTGAAAACTGTGTTGGATTGCTTGGGTAGCCTTACATAGAAAAATGTCATTTTGTGTCTGTGAGGCCATCTCCTTCTGTGGTCACAGCTGAAGATGGGCATGCTGTTTTTAGTAGACCTGCTTTACCGCTGCCTAGGTGTCAGAAAGCCATCAGCCTCAGCAGCTCACTGCTCTGCCCCTGGCTGAGCTTTTTGGCTCAGAGGGTCTTGCTAGACTTCTTTCTCATTCCTGGGAGAGTTTGAGTATCTCTTGACTACAGTTGTCCACTGAAGTTTGGTGTTAGGTTATACAAACTGCATGAGCAAGGATGAATATTATCATGGTAGAGCAGAGTGTAGCTACAGGGCTTTCTTTGGGTTGACTTGAAGGTTGAATTCATGGACATGGCTTGAGCAGTTACTGCCCTTTATTCACACCACCAATTTTTTTACAGAGGTCTTTATCAGTGCCAAGCAGAAATAAATGTGACTGTGAGCTGCAACTTGTAAACAATGCATAAATTCAAAGTCAGTAATTTTATTTCACGTTAATGTGTCAGACTGTAAACTGGCAGCGAGATACTCTATCTGACAAGCTCTTCTGCAGGAGTGGCAATATTTGAAACAGGGTAAAGAGAACAACTGAGGGTCAGCAAAACATGCTTCATGTTATGAATCATAAGCTTTTTTTTTGTGGGAGAGATGGATGAAAAGGTCTTGATGTGGCTCAGGTTTTAATCTCACATAAAGGGGGTCGTCTTTTTCCAGAGAAGCTGACATTTAACTTGATGTAATTTTCCAGTAAGATACTGAAAACTAAGGTCTTTGACCTAGTAAACTGATGGCCTGTTGGAGTATCTCATGGGAGTCAGTGTTCTAGTAAACAGAGCTTACAAGTTCAGGCAACAGTTGTGAGTTTCAGTACTTTTATCAAGACTGCTTTTTGAGCCTTTTATAATTTATGGGCAATTCCAGTCCTGGGCTAAGTTATGCAGCTTCATACCCTTTTATCTGTTGGCATTTTAAGAGTGCCCTGTACTTGGTGATGGGTTACACTCCCAGAGTGCTGAGGAGACTCATCAGGATGGTGCTGCCACAGGCTATGGAGGTCCAATCAGGATCTCTCTGTTATGCCCATTTGGTTTGATTTGATAGGCTATAGGAAGGTTACACACTCATCTATGAGATTCTTTCTGGCTCTGTTGAAAAAGTTTTCATAAGATATTTACAGCCAGGTTTTGCTTTGAAAGCTGCTGCTGAGCACTGGCTTTCACAGGCTTATTCTGCTTTGGGTTGTTTGCATTTAAACACCACATCCAGTGCAATGCTGTAAACAAGGAGCAAACAGCTACATAACTATGATTCCCAGGAGAGAATGATCTGTTAAAAGGGAAAAGTGCTTGTTTTGTCACAGCTGAATTACTAATATTCCTATAAATTGCTTCTCTGGGGTTGTGTAACGTGTTTGGCAATGTGGCAATAAGAGATGTTGAAATGGGGAACAGACTTAGAGGAGTAGAAATGGAAGGAAGCCAAGCCAAAATACACAGTGAGCCTTTTCCAAAGACAGGTCAGCAATGATCCAAGTGTATTCCCACAAAATGGAAGTTCAGAAGGGAACTGTAAGCAGTGGAAAATATTGCATGCTCAACTTACGTTACGAACTTCGGTCACTCTGAGTTCACTGAAGAAAAAAATGTTTCTAGAGCTTAAAGCCTTTCTTATTGATTTCTTTTTCCTTTTTCTTCTCCTATATTTAAATATTTTTATGTTAGGTAAACTAAACTAGGAGAAAAAAAATGAACTGTTTTTCTAACACAGGAAACTTTAACAATAAAATTACTACAGAATGTTTCACGATAATATTTGTCAGGATAATACCTCCATTTTTCTTTAGGAGGAAGGCGGCTTAAAGGAGAAGTTTTATGAATTGTTTCCACTTGGCTTTTATTTTAGGCTTGAAAATTACTCGCTGCCTTGCTGATTTCTACCTTTGATGCCCTGTGCATGCACACCCCTCTGTTTTCTGCCAGTAGGCCCCCATGAAGACTTTGGCCCCCATGAAGACTTTGTCATGCTTATTAATATTTAGCTTGTCTTTATTTGTAAAACTACTGTTTGCAGTGTGCATATCTGGTACCAGTGTGTTGATGTCTAATCACAAACTAGATGCAACCTGTGCTTTTCTTTTGTTTGAAAGCAGACAGAAACCATTAGTAAAGATCAGAGCTGCTCTACAGCTCTGACACTACAAAGAGAAAACCTGGTAGTACTAACAGCATCAAACTTCTGGCACTGATTATAGTCCTAAGTCAAGCATTATTAATGGAGACAGAGACGCTTCCTTTATTTAGAAGGGGATTTATAGCAGGAGTGTAATTTAGATAAACTGGCTGATCCTTAGGAGGTGCATCTGAGTCTCACTATTACCTACAGAGAACCTGAAAGACTTATTGTAGGCATCAGCAATTAGGTCATGTGAATATCTACCTCTGCCTCACTTTCCCAGTAAATACGGAAATACTGTATCACACTAATTCATGGAGTTTTATTACTCTCTTCAGAAGGCAGAGAGACATTTTTATGGGTTGTGCCTGCTCACATTCTTACCAAAAAAAAAAATAAAAAATAGGTTAGTAACCTTTCTCTCCTTTCTGACAGCTGTAGCTGGTCAGGCTGCCCATCTCTGTTTTCTTGTTCCTGTGTTCAATTTTTCTGTTGTCCCAGACAGTCCTTTACATGTTATACACTCAAAGTGTCTTCAGGCTGGAAGCTTCTGCATTTACTTTATATTGAAATTGAAGTAAAGGAGGGGAAGAAACATTTTTCTGACCTGAACAGTCCTGGACATTCCACTGATTTGAAACTTGAGACAGGGAAATTCCTTCTGCAGGCCAGTCACATCAAGGTGGTCAGCCCTGCTAGTGCTCTGGTCCCTGTGCTGCTGCCATGGGAGATCTGAGGTCAAACTCAAGTCTTTTGGTTCATAAAGGCCTAAATAACTGGGGATGTAACAACTGCCAATTTTGTCCTGCCAGAGCATTAAGAGAGCTCTTTCCCACTCTGCCCTTTAGTGGTTATTGTGCATCTCTGTGGGCTTTTTCCATGTGGAATTAGGTGTGTGATGCCCTATCACTTGGGTGGCTGCTTAGCCATGTTCAGGGTGTGGGAAATGTGATTCCTTGCAGTGTCATGTTTTTCCAGATGCTGCCACAAGGAACTTGTTTTTAGCCTTGGTAGAAAGCACCCCTTCTCAGTCATGGGAATTCAACCTTTTACTGATGCAGCTGGTTTACAGTTACAGATTTCTATATCTCTTGGCTCTGCTTTTTTTTTTATCTGTCCCTTTAAAATATGCTTTTAAATGACATGTTGCTAGTGTTCACTGTGTGATGTAACTGTGGAGATTAGAGGTGTATTTTTCTCAAAGACGTGTATTAAGAAAAGCTCGTTATTTGCCTTTTCAAATTACACGCACTGGGGGTCTCCAGCTGCTCTGGAGAGCAGCTTCCTAACTGGAATGCTGAGTCCATCATCCTACCACCTCTGCCAAGGAGAAAGAAATGAGCTGGCCTTCTTAGAGCTCATGGAGAACTAGCTGCCTGTTGGAAAACCCAGATTATTTCAACAGCAAAATGTCCAGTTAGGGTGAAAAGCATTATTTCACAGAATGGCGAGTGAAATAAAGCATTACATCAGATTGATTTTATGCTGCTGATCAAAATATTTTGGAACAGTTTATTGTACAGAGTAGGAATATTTCGTCCTAGCTCAGGGCAGAATGAGCCTATATCCCCTCTCCTCTGGCAGAGCCTCATGATATTTACAGTTTGACAGTCTCATGCTTCAGTTCTGTACAGCATTGCTCCTCAGATGACCTGCATTTCTTGTGCTAACCTATAATCAAAATTCCCATAAAAAGTAGCATTGATCTGACCACAGTTTTTGATGAAATGCTTTGGGATAAAATGGGAACTAGTGCTTCAAATTGCAGCTCCCCAAGCTCCAAAGCCAGAAAGAGCAAACAGTTTAATTCAAAAACTCAGAGATGTATTCTTTAATTCGTCTTACCTGTTGTGGTTTTTTTTTCTCAAAAATAAAAGTGAAAAAGAAAGAAGCTGACTCTGGGTTGTTTTTTTTGGGTTTTTTTGTGATCTTAGGAAGAACTTCAAAAAGTAGCAGCTTCCTGAAACCTTTTTTATATACTTTATAACAAAAATAACAATACAAACTTCAGAATAGAAAAAAAAATCCAACCCATAGGTGTGCATGAGTATGTATAATATGGAAAAAGAATACATATGCTCTCTGAGGTCATGTTAAAAGCAGAAGTGAATAAAAACTACTTAAATATGGGTTCACCCTTGGTTTTTTTTTCTGCAGATCCCACCTGTGGCAACACATACAGCTCATGGAGTACAAATTATGTGTAGTAGGCGTTCATGTGGAAAATCTGTATGGCCAAAGCATTCTGGCAAACCACAGTTCCTGCTGGGTGAGTTAAGAGTCTGTCTTTAAGGAATGAGGGATTCAAAACTCCCCATGCAGGTGAGTGTAAATCTCTTCCTCCTTTCATGGTTTTAGCTTTGCTGGTGGTTTGAATTCCCAATTACAGGCATTCATTGGAATGAAATGAGAGTCTCAAGGTGCTGCTGCACGGTTCATTAACCCCAGAGTTTTTGATGGAGTCCTTCTTTGCTGTGGTTTTCATGGTTAGCTCTGTTCTCTGGAGTGATCTGCAACCTGCTGCCAGTCTCACCTTCACCACCATAAAGGGAAGGTGCAGCCCGTGTCAGTTTGCAGAGGGAGCAATATCTCATGGCTTCTGAGTCATGCCTTAAAGCCCAAAGGGGCTTTTCTTACATCACTGTTTTCTGTACTAAGCAATTTTCCAAAGCAAGAACTCTGAGCACATTAAACTTGAGCTTTTTATTTGCTTTTTCAGTATAATAATGAGTTGAAAGTGTTTCTGCATTATGTAATTATATAATTCTGTGTTGGTGTTTTTTAAAGGTAGAAAATAGAACCCTGACTGCTGTGGTGAATTTATCCCCTAAAAATTAGTGCAGCCCAGAAGGAAGAGATGGGAGGATGATGATGATTTGTTAAAATTAGTCTACCCCATGGCTTCTGGCAAAGGATTGCAAAGTGTAATTTATGCAGCAGGCTTCAATAATGCAGTAAAAATATATTCGTAATGTAGATACACATGGCTGAGGTTATGTCCCTCTTTTAAATTTTCCAAAGGAAAAAATTATCCTTTTTTCTTCAGCAAGCTATGAAGGTCATCTTAAGAACGAAGCCCAAAGCAGGTAATTCAGCTTGAGCAACCAGTCCTTTGGGAAAAAGCTTTTGTCTTCAAGAGCCAACAGAAAACTGCCATAAGCACCTTGAATGTCTACTGAAGGCAAAACCTAAACCTGGTCTGGGATGCTGAGGTGTTGCCCACAGTCAGCTGGAGTCATGTCTTTACTATTGTAGGCTGTAAAGCGCAAGCATCTGGCCTGCCTAGGTAGGCATGGAGCAGCTCTGCTGCCAGGGCTGCTCTACAGTTTGTGGGGTCGTGCATGACCTAGTGAGGAGGTGTGGGCACCAGGTACCATCAAAACCAGCAGACTTCAACCCATGTGAGGCCTCTAACAATTCACAAAAGTGGCTTCGTGTCTTGCCCTGTATGGTTGAAATTGTGTCAGTGCACTTTAACTCTCTCAAGGCATGAATTCCCTGGCAGTGGGTGCCAGGTTGCACTGCCAGGTCCCACAGCTGGTAGAGGGAGGGACGCTCAGCACTCCCTGGGCTTCCCTTAGGACAGTCTTGCAGGCTGAGCTGCTCCTTGGTTTGCTCACCTGTGGCAAGTCCCTGTGGCTGCCCAGAGCCCACCTGCATGAAAATGTGGTAGGCACTGCCAGGGAAGCTTGTCCATGTCACTGCAGGCTCGGGGCCATCTGAGGATGGGGTAGCACAGCTCTCCACAAAGCTCTTCTCATGGGGCAGGGATGCCATATGTGGTTGCTAGCAACCACTTCACATGCCAAATAAAATTCCTCAGCAACAGAAGACAGAAGTTATGACAGCAGGCCAGCTATATATCCAGATACACAGGAATATATCCTTTGACAGCCTCATGTAGGGGCTATTGGAGAGAAGTTTTGGAATTGTGAGGTTTTCTTTTAGCTGAAACAAGAGGCAAACTTCTAGTCTGTGAAAGGCATCTATTTTTGGAGGGCAATCATTCATTTAATTTAAAAATATTTAGTTTAGTCCCATTTTTTGCACTCTGGAAAAGGCTCAGCAATCTGAGCATTATTCACGCAAACCTCCACAGAAGTTATACTTGCTAACTATGAAGTTTTGAGGCTTTGCTCTGCACAGGATAAGTTGTGTTTGTGCTACTGAAGTCAGTAACACTATACATTTGCACATCTGCTGAGCATCTTGTCCACAAGTATCTGCAATAAGCTGGCAGTGATATTTATTTCATAGAATGAGGTTGGATTTTTTTTATTATTCTTCTTTGTATCATCCAAGATACACACATCAAGAACTGGTTCTCATCCTCTGTGTCTGAGTCTGTTCTCACATGAGAGCTGTGAATGTGACCAGAGAATTGGGCCTCTGGCCAATAAAGCTAATATTTTGCAAAAGGACATATCAGGCAATGTAAACTGCCCTCACAAGGAAAGTTTACATATCTGAAATGTCTAATGCTTTTTTAAACTTCTGCCTCTCTATTCACTGCCAGCTTTCTCCAAGAGAATCATGCTTCCTAAGACATCCTTTCCGATTGTAAATTATTCTCGCATATCTAGCCAGAAGACAGACTACGTAGTTGCTGGCCTGTCTCAAATGGATATGGCAGGTAATTATTAGTCTCATTAGTAAACAATTCACAATCAGCTACAAATTTTTGGTTTAATTGTATTCATGACAAAAGAATACATTAAACTTTAATCTGCAGTTTCGTTAAACAAGTGAATACATTAAACTCTCTTCTGCCATTCCATAAGCAGCAGAGGAGCTAACATTCAATACCCTATGAGTTATTCTAAATCTTCTAATCCTGGGGTTAGTGAAGAACTCAATTTTACTTTATTTCCTGTATCCTGCTCTTTTGAGACCTGAACAAAACATCACACTCCAAAGATGATCATGATTGTGCTCTATTGGGAAGCAGTACTAAAAGAGTGTACTAGATTTTCTTAGTTCCACCTACATTCACTGCCATTCTCATATAAGATTTTTCTCCTCCTTTGGCTTGCTCTGCCTCTCCACTGAGGATTGTAGAGTTCCTTTAGAAATTAGCCCATGCTGCAATTGCCAGAGAAATGCTCTTTCTCTCTAGATTCATGGTTTGCTATTTTTTTCAGTGTGTAATAATATGTGCACGCCTGGGGACTCACAAAAACCTGAAGCCTCTCATTATATGTTCCCCTGCTCCTGTCACAGGTGCACAGAATTTAAATGCTGGCTACATGTTTTTAACTCTTAGGCAGCCTTCAATACCACACTGACTTTCACCTCAATCTCATCTGGTTTAGGTGTGGGTTTTTTCTTCAACACCTCTTCATCTCAAGTCATTGTTTTGCTTGCTCTGAAAAGCTGCTCCAATTCCCACACTACTTTTGGAAGCTAAAACCCAGTGCCATGCAGGAGTTAAAACAGAGAGGCCTGTGTTATATCCAGAACCAGAACAGGCAACTGACAGAAGCAGCTCCGTAAGATACAAAGGCCTCTAGGATGAGGACTATGTTTTTGATACTATATATGTGCATAGACCTGTGCCTGTATTGCTTTCCTTTGTCTCACTTTTTCTCACTGTGTTTGCAAGAATTTCCAATACTCTTATTTTTAGCAATTGTGGCCTATTTCTAAGAATTTCATTACACTGGATTTCAACAGGTGATAGTCTCAGGTGTGTTGTCTTGCAGGTTAATACTCCCTACCTATGCAAACTTAGCTTGTCAGGTTTTTAAAATATTTGAACAATGTTGACACTGTTTTTCATAAGACAGCTTAATTATAATTCCCTGCTTATGAAGTAATATAATTCAAATCACAGCTGTCACAAAACACAACAATCAAATTGCAATCCAGTATGTGACATTAAGATGAGCTGGTTTGTCATAGGTATTAAATATAGAATTTATGTATCACATATTATTTAGGAGATCTGGATAGTGACAAGAGTAATGCAGAACCACTACCCAGGGTCAATATCACCACGAAGTCTCAGGCCAGACTTGTACCATGGATTTAACATTTGTTTGCACATACCAGTGTGTGTCATTTCAGACTGTTTTCACTATGTTTCTTCTATTTTAAACAGTTTTCAACAATGGATTTATTTAAAGAAGTTTTCTAACACTAAAAGCAGACAGTAATGGAGTGTCTATGATAATTCTTTACTTGCTGGCAATTTCTCATCCTTTGGTGTCCTTCTACTTATACCTGGTTTTACATTGTGCAGAACTTGGTTCAGCTGTTGGCTGCCACCAGAAGATGTGGCTCTTCTCCCCCCCATTCCCTGTTGTGCACAATCTCGTTACAGTAAACAGCTGCTAAATATCTGGTCAAGGCAGGAACTGGTTCAGTGAAGAATTCAACATCACACTAAGCCCCCACAACAGCAAGTAGTTCTGTTGGAGGTGAGCAAGCCAAACTGATGGAGCTGGACTGATGCATGGGAGGACAGCAGATGCTGCAGCCCCAAAGGAAGATGGGAAAGGATGGCCTTCTCCTCCTCTGCCCATTGTTACAGCACATCAGCTTTAATCCACAGCTGTGCTCCATTTTCTTCCTACCACAGAAATGGTTCCTGTCCTCAAGGTTTTCTCACCCTCTTCACTATAAGGTCTTTAAGTGAAATATGCACTTTGATATGTTTTCAACACAAGAACAGATACTCCATTTCCATAGGCAATTGCAAACTTTTCTATTTCTCAAGGCTTTATTTCCCCTTACAGGGAGTCTAGTCTGCCTGAAGTTTCACCCATCTGTATTCCACATGAGTCAATTTTCTCTGCAAAATCTTTATTTTAGATTCAGATGTCACATTAATCAATGTAGTCATGTCCTGTTTGTAATAATCATCTCATCTAAATCCAACATAATATTCCAATCAGTGGAAGTATCTAGCTCTTGAATTCTGATATTTTTTCCTTTCCTTAGCTGAAATTTCCTTTATTTGGAATATATACTCTTTGGACTAGTTTAGAGTATAGTTCTTTCTTTTTCACAGACTGGTGTAAAAATGTCTGGTTTTCCTGCAGACGGATAAGTTTTTCCCAGCACTTGGACACTGCATTGCTCCCACGTGTGCTCCTTACCTCCTGCAAGGTTTGTAGGACTTTGTAGAATAAGCACACTCAGTTGCCTGTGCTACTTGCTGTCTGATAGTCTTCCCACCAAGATCTTATAGGTACAATCTGTACATCTAATTAATCTTTGTTTCTTCCAAGCTTAAATCCAGCAAGTTTTAAAAAGTTTTGGTTTCTGATCCCCCTTAAAACACTGATGTGACTAAAAGACTGTAAGCAGTCCAGAAGAAAGTGTTTGACTGCACAGCTGACATACTTTGATTCTCTGGAAAGTTATAGCTACTAAAAGTCTCTCTAATGCTTAAGAGTCAGAAAAAAAAAAATACAAAAACTATGGCTGCTTTATGCTTTTTTGTGTGGTTGTGAGGTGTTTTGTTTGGCAGTGGGATTTTTTTTTGGAACTTTGTACCTTGTCACAAAAAGACTATGTAACTACACAAAAGACATTGAGGCCCTAGAGTACATTCAGAAGACAACAAAGTTGGTGAAGAATCATATGGGAAGTGACTGAAGGAGCTGGGAATTAGCCTGGAGAAAAGGAGGCTGGGGTTGGGGGTTTTATCAGTCTCTGCAACTACCTGAAAGGAGGTTGTAGTGAGTTGGGGT